GGGCTAATATGGCCTTCTGTTATGGCCACTGCTCCTTCCCTATCAGAGCTCTTCCTGTCTTCTGCATGTGCCTTGTGTGCCACACAGACAAGATGGACATGCACAGCAATCCCAGTGCTTCAGCAAAGCCCACTTTATACAAACATTGTACTTACAGGGTTTGCTGTGTTTTAGTGCCACTTTCCCACAGCCAGGACCCATTGAATTCATCAGTTTTGAGATGGATCCAGCCATTAATTTCAAACAATAACAAGTTTTCCTGTTGAGTACAGAAAATCACAACCCATAACTGAGTGTACAGTCCTAATTCTTTTTCTTTTCTGTTCTTCTTAAAAATGATTTTTAAATTTGTGTATGTTTCTAAAGTTTGAGACAGAATTTTAACGCACAGTCCAAGCTGGCCTGGAAACTCACTGTGTAACCCAACTGGCCTCAATTCATGGTGGTCCTCCTGTCTCAGCCTCTCAAGTGCTGGGGTCATAGGAATGAGTTACCATGCTGGGTGATCTCTTTTTTCTTTACTACATAGCAATTTTGGGTCCTTCTGAGTAGAACTTGCCAGCTGGCACTCATTCACTGCTTTGGTTTTCCTGTAGCATTAGGCATTGAGATGCTGGAGCGCCCTCCCTATTGTCTCACTCAGGATAACAGTAAATCAGCATCAGCAGGTAGCACATGCCCTCCAGACCTCTCAGCTTGTCAATCCTAATGTTCAGGAGCAGTGCTTCCAGGGCAATCAATTACAAAGAAACGGAAAATCAGGAGTGTGACCTACCAGCTCTGCTTTGGAGTTGATCTCCACAAGATGAGAATTCAGCTCCTCACAGGCAGACTGACTGTCTGGCCAGGTTTTGATTTCACGAAAAACACGATAGAAATTGTTTCCAAAAGCAATCCAGTCACGTGAACAAGGATGACAGGAGCGGTCTAGGACATGCACATGCAATAACCATTTATTAGTATAACACCTAGGCTTTTGTGAGACTCATGAATGCTACAGAGAGCAATGTTCCTCAGTGTCTGCTGCTGACCCAGGCTGTACAAGCCTCCAGGATGCTCAGGCAGCCTCCTGCCCATGAGCTGCACTCCAGGCCTAAGCAGTGTATAAAAGTGATGAGTAATCTTTGCACGGTCCTTATCTGAAAGCAAGGAGTAACTACACATTTTTGGTTTAAAATTTTCTTCTTAAAAAAATCCTGTGAGAAAAACAAGTTTAAGTATTATATTTGTAAGTGGATATATTTAAAGGAGAAATGATATATAATTATACGAACAGAAAAATAAGGTACTACATGAAATGATTCTAAATTTGCAGCTGTTTTTATGAATAACTGCTCTGAGTACACAAAATTAAAGTGTATACATACCTTTAAACTGGTAATTTAACTATTTAATAAATGTGCTATGCATTTTAATTTCTGTAACATTTATAATAATCCAAGGTCATTTATTTATTAGTTACATTTATCTTCAGAAAAATGAGGGCATTTTCTAATCGATATCTCATTTCATATTTTTTATAGCAGCATGTATTTATAAAGTATAAATTGTGTTTCTTCATTTTGCTAACTTGCTGAAATTAGCATTGTTAACACTCAAAAGTGTTTTATAGGTAATACGTGTCTAGGAAGGTATGTAAAATTGATAAAGCTAACGTTTTATAAGACAGTACACATATGACATGAAGCTCTCATTTTAAAATTTATGCCTAGTGTAAGATATATTTTGACCATTTTAGTGAGGTACTAAACAAACATGCTATTAGGCTATCCTAGTTTATCTCTATGAGAATTACTGGAAGTATATTTTCAAGTATGAAAAGAAAATTTTCTAGTAGAGTCATACATTGTATACACAGCAACTTCACCAAGTGTGAATTTTTGCCTTTTTCTTTTTCTCACATTTAAAATGTTTCCTGCTTTAAATCCTGATAGACCCAGAGACACCAGGTAAGCAACTCCCACCCCCCAAACCCTTGCTTGCCAACTCTCCTGAAAACACTACCAGCAGCAGTAAACTGCGCCCCATACATGCACCCATACCCCCACCTGAATTTTTGGAAGCTTGCCAGATCCAGGAACAAGGTAAGTTCCTCCCCTACAATTCCCAGCCAAGTTCCCTGAAAGCATCCTTAAGAGCGATAAACTGAACCCCATACTGTGCAACCCATTTTCCACCCCACAATTCGGCCTGCTTTTCTGAAGGTTTGCAGTCACCGGGGACAACCAGGTAAGACCTTGCCCCAAGCCCTTGCCTTCCATAGTCCCCTAAAACACAACCATAGCTTTAAACTGCACCCAAACCCCTGGATTCCATTTTTTTCAGCCCAAAACCCGGCTTGCTTTCCCAGAGGCCCACCAGATAGTCAGCAGAACTACAGGCCACTCAGACCACTGGACAGAGAGGAAACAGAAACCAAAGGGAAAACATTTAAAAAAAAAACCAACAAAACACCTACCCATCCAACAAATATACATTTATAAATCAACATCTAGATCTATACTAACTGCAAAACTGAGATGGGTAAAGGACAGTGTAAAAACACAATCAACCAGTGCAAGGGCAATATTGTATCACCAAAGCCTGCTATCCTACTACAGCAAGCCCAATTTATCCTAATACAGCTGAAGCACAAGAAAATAACCTTAAATCCAATGTTATAAAGATGATAGAGGCCTTTAAAGAGGAAATGAATAAATCCCTTAAAGAAATACAGGAAATGCAAGCAAAGAGGTGAGAAGGAAATGAACCAAACTGTTCAAGATCTGAAAATGGAAATAGAAGCACAAACTGAGGAAATTCTAGAGATGGGAAACCTAGGTAAAAGAATAGGAACCATAGACATAAACATATATTCATATACACATACACATATACACACATATACATATATATGTGATGGAAGAGAGACTCTCAGCCATGGAAGATACGCTCTAGTCAGGATACAAAGTAAATAAATTAATTTAAAAAGAAAAAATGTTTCCTAATTTAGACAGGTGTCAGTTGTCTAGGTTTGGAGTGACACGTCATTAAAACAAAATCATCTATATTTGCTAGTGGGCTTAAATATTCTCAAGGCAAACACACTTAAATGGGAAAAAGAAATCAATTTATTCTTATCCAAGTACGGGTGATCATGGATCAAGAACAGGGATCCAGTGGTGAATATAACATTTCAGTGCCAAAGCAAGTTTTGGAAATATTAGTACCCTCTAGAGGTTTTTATGATAGCTCAATGAATTTTAAATCAGACAGAGAGATGGGCAATGAAGTCTACAAAAGGAGCTAAAGATGGACCCAAATAATTTGGTTCTGGATCTGTAACATTCTTACTCTCCATTATCATAATGTAGCAACAATCATAATGTATCAGTTTGTAGAATGTTTTATCATAATGTATCACTTTGTAGAATGTTTCATTATAGCTATGTACATTTTTTTCCTGAGAACTTTAGTTTGCCAGATTTTTTCATGTGAATTTTATAGTTTGACTGTCTTTTATGATTGATTTATTCCTATCCTTTATCCCTATTTTCATTGGACAAGCTCTTTTCCCCCCATTTTCTTCCTTTCAGTCCTGTACTACTCAAATGCATTTTCTGACATAATAACTACTCTGTTTGCTGCCCTGCGTTTGCTAACCAGCACAGCCTTTTTACTTCTGGGCCCCTCCAGCCTTTTTTGGCTTCTTCATTACTGTGATAAACACCATGATCCAAAACAAAAAGGTTTATTTGGCTACCAGGGTACAGGCCATTGTGAGAGAAGGCAGTGCAGGAGTTCAAGACGAGAACGTGGAGGCAGGAACTGAAGCAGAGACCATGAAGGGCAGCTGCATGCTGGCTTGCTTCTAGACTCACAGGCAGCTTCTTTCTTTCTTTTTTTTTTCTTTGTTTTGTTTTTACATGTACACATGTAAGCTTTATTAAGATTCAAAATAATCAATTTAAATGAATTACCCACTAGGAGAATTGAAAGTTTAAAAGCATTTATTCTTATCTTAATCAGAGTTTCTTTCTTATCATTTAAAGTTTCAAGATTGTGTTATATGAATTTTAAAAAAAGAGCATTGGGCTATATAATATTTGTTATTTTTAGCCCTAAGATCATCTCAGCGGCACCATTCAACCTGATATCACAAATAATAAGACACAGACACCTGTTAAAACTGTAATTGCCTTATTTACCTTGGGCCAGGGAGATGTTTCACTTACACCGTCTCAATAACCTCACCATCCGTCTTCCAGCCCTCATCCAATGCTGTCCACCTTAAACCTTCTTATCTGGACTACCTTCCATCCACAATCCCATGGTACTTGCTTCTGTCCTTCATTTGGGCCTTTTCACACCGTTATTGGAGACTTTCCTCTGCTCATGTGGTGTTTTTTCCAGGTTAACCCATCCTGTTATCCCCCTCTCTCTTCTCTTCTTGTCCATCTGTCCTTCCTGTGATGCCCATGTGGTTCTCCAAAGCCTGAGTACCTTAGCCATGCCTCCCCGTTCTGCCTTGCCCAGATATAGGCCATTTAATGAACCAATCAGGTATAATGTTTTAGGCAGGTCTACACAAACAAGGTTGGGTGTATCAGGCGGGCAGTAACCAGACCTCGAGGGCCAGATATTAGCTTTAGGCCAACTCCAACAATTCTCTTTTTTTGTCTAAATAAATGGCCGCTTTTATACAGCAAGAATGATTATGAAACAATTACAAGAACCAATAGCCAAGGCTAACAAATATAGTGTCTAGTGTAACTGTATGGGGGCTGGGAGATGGATGGTGAGGATATTTAGACAGTGTAAGTGAAATATCTGCCCTGCCCAAGCTAAATGTAGCAATTACAAATCTAGCATGAATCTCTGTCCCACCATCTGTAGTAGGAGGTTAAATAATACCACCATGACACTCTTAGGGCTAACAATACATTATAGAGCCCAGCACACTTTCTTTAAAATTTGTTTTTCTTGCTTAGCTTCTTTTTTTTCATATTAATTTTTTTTTGCTTCTTTCTTCTTCTTTTTTTTTTTTTTAACATATAAAGCTGTTTAATCAGGTTGTTAGCAATTTAGAACACCAGCTTGTGAGGATACATCCCGTTTGTCAGGGAGAACTGAGCTCGAAGGTAGCCCTGCAGCTGGGGAACAGCTTTGATCTTTGGCAGAATCTGTGAGTCCACAGTTTTCTGATCAGCCTTGCGCTGCTCTGTAATCTCGTATTTCTCCTTCTCTGTGTCAAAGATCTCGCCCTCCTGGTGCCTGGGCTTTCGCAGCTGCTTCTTCTTGAAGTAAGCGTCAGTCAGGTGTTTGGGGATTTTAACTTTGCTGATATCAACTTTTGTAGAGGTGGCAATGACAAACTTCTGGTGTGTTCTGCGCAGAGGAACTCTGTTGAGAGCAAGAGGTCCAATCACAAGTAGCAAGCCACTGCCCAGCTGTTTCAGGAAAACCACTCTCTTGCCCCTGTGGCGCCCGGTGAGGATGATCAGGACGGTCCCAGGAGTGATGCTGGCTCGCAGCTTTCGCACATGCTGACTGAAGGGCTTTTTGCCATGGCTCAGCAGCTTGCGAGGCACGTCTTCAGTAGGATAATACCTAGGCATTTTTCGAAGCTTCACCACCCGGGTACCACCATTCTTGTCACCACCTACTGGTTTTGTAACAGTAGCAAGGACCTTCTCCTTTTTCTTCTTTTCAACCTTGGACTTTGCGGCAGAGTATTTCCTCTTGTACATTGCCTTTCTGGAATACATAGCAGACCGGGAGTATGCATCCAGGCCATCTACTTGAGGATGACACTACATCAGAGGGCTGGTCCCACCTACACAATATAAGAATTAAAAAGATGCCTCACAGACAAGCCAGCAGTCCAATCTAATGGAGGCAGATTCTCAGTTGGGGTCCCTCTTCCCAGGCTTGTCTTGGTTTGCATCAAGTTGACAGGACTGAAACAGTTCTTCCATAAGTCCTTGATTCCTCTCATTGATTTGGATGCTGGTCTTTCCAAATTAAAATTTTGTTTTTTTCCTTGCCTTTGGGTCAATTACTTCAAAGAGTGAGTCAAAGACTAGGTTTCTTTCTTTCTTTTTTTCTTCCTTCCTTCCTTCCTTCCTTCCTTCCTTCCTTCTTTCTTTCTTTCTTTCTTTCTTTCTTTCTTTCTTTCTTTCTTTCTTTCTTTCTTTCTTTCTTCCTTTCTTTCTCAACTTCAAAACATCTGAGACAAAAGGGAAGCTAAACCTCATTTGCAAATACAGAGATGCCTGACCTGGGGCTGGTCAGCAGGAGGTCTGGCTCCCAGCCCCTTCCAGCAGCCTCTGCTCTCCTATGCTAGGTCAGTGTGGCTTGTGTTTATGAATGCCAGGTTTTCCTACACAACTATCCTAGCAAAAGAATAAGAAGTAAAGGGAAAAGAAAGACACTAAAGAAAGAAGGATGCAAAACAAAAACAAAAACAAAAACAAAACAAAGCAAAAAAACCTAGAAGGAAAGTAACAGGGAACATTTCTGCAAAACATTTTAAAAAGTAGGCTGTAATGCCAGGGAAGGAATGGGCTTGCTATGGAGAGTTCGGGCAAACAGGCAGAGCAAAAACTCCCTTCTTTCATGTTCTTGATAAAGGCTGCCCCCAGAAGGTGTAGTCCAGATAAAGGGTAGATAATCAGACCTCAAAATATCCAGATTAAAGTTGTGTCTCCCCACTTCAAATGATTTAATTAAGAAAACTCCCTCGGAGGTATACCTAAGCTCCTTGGGTTTTAATTACTTCCAGATGTAGCCACATTGACAACCAAGAATAGCCATCACACTTGTCAATTATCAACCTGGTGAGAGCTGTTTCGAATGCTTACAGGTAAGAGATGCTATGATGAAATGTTTGGAAATATCTGCACATAGTCGTTTGTGTCTATGGCTTTCTCTCCGTGTGTTCACATATGCAGTTGTAGAACTCGTGAGAATGTGTACAGAACTTCTCTCTGTACAGATCCAGCATGCTTCATTCTGGGAATATGTACATGCTTGTTTATATTTCCCAGGATTTCTACTTCATTGATTTTTATTTTCAAACAACAGTAACAAGCAGTTCATATTTAGTATTCAACATGTTTAATCTCATTTTTCTCCTAATAAGGATTTTAAAAAAAAAACAAAGAACACACATACTTGTAATCTTTGGAAATTTTGTTGTTTAAATACTTTTTATCTTAATTTTAAGCCATGTGAGTTCTTTCCTGGTAAGGAACTGAATGAACAACACTGTATCAGCCTGTGGTGACTGACTGATTGACATTTGTGGAAATAGAAAGATCTTTTGCCCCGGTAGTGAAAAGAATTGGAAATGAACTCTACAGAGTTAACTCTCACCAACATCCTGAGAATTAACACTCACCAACATTCCCCGAGTTAACACGACCCAACATTTTCAGAATTAACACTTACCAACATCCTCAGAATTATCACCGATATCCTCAGGGTTAATACTCACCATCCATTTTAGGACACAGATGAGAGAGAAGTGAGGGTTTTCTGCTTTGCTCTTCTTGGCTAGAAAATACTGGGGCATAATCCGTGGCAGGATAGGATCCCTTGGATGCTGTAAAATGTAGTCAGGCTATCATCATATTGCCGAAAGCACAACTATCCCAATGAAGTAATTGCAGAATTGCTTACATTTTGGAAGTAAGATCCCTATGATTGTCATCAGCAACACACACAAGGCTCCAAGGATGACTGTCACCACTCTCCATACTATTGAGTTGGGACCTGGAAAGAAAGGGGAACAGTGACAATAACTGCATTTCCAGGGGGAAGTGATCAAAGAGCAGGACACTGAGTTCATGTCAGAGACAGCCACTGTACCCTTTACTAGGGAACCCACTTGGAAACTGAGAAGCCAATGGGCTTCCTTTGAACAGGGGGTCTAGGTCCTCTCCATGCATGGTCCTTAGTTGGAGTATCGGTCTCTTCAGGACCCCTTGGCACAGGTATTTTGGCTCTGTTGTTCTCCTTGTGGAGTTCCTGTCCGCTCCAGGTCTTTCTCTCTCCCTCTTCTTCCATAAGGATTACGGCACTCTGCCCAAAGTTTGGCTATGTGTCTCAGTATCTCTGGTTGGCAGAGTCTTTCAGAATCTGGAAACAACCTAGATGTCCCTCAATGGAGGAATGGATACAGAAAGTGTGGTATATTTACACAATGGGATACACTCAGTAATTAAAAACAAGGAAATCATAAAATTTGCAGGCAAATGTTGGGAACTAGAAAAGATCATCTTGAGTGAGGTAACCCAGAAGCAGAAAGACACATATGATATATACTCACTTATAAGTGGATGTTAGCCATATAATATAGGATAAATTACTGAAATCTATAGTCCCAAAGAAGCTAAACAACAAGGAGGACCCTAGGGAAGATGCTTAATCCTTGTTCAGAAGGGCAAACAGGGTAGACATTGAAAGGCACCTTAGGCATCATAGAGGCCTATTCAATTGAAGATTCCCATTCACAGTCCATCAGAGCAGTAACAACCAGTGCAGGAGCTGGAAGCAACTGGTCATATGCTCAGCCAAGAGCAGTCACAAACACATTCACGCTTAGTGCTCACCTCGCTTTCACTGCCCTTATGCCACCCAGAGCCCCAACCTGGAAATGGTGCCTCCCAGTTGCAGTCAGTCTTCTCACATCAGTTAGAGCGTGAAAACAATCCTCTACAGACATGCACACAGGCCAAACTGACCTAGACAGTGCCTTGGTAAGACTCCTCCTAGGGGATTCTATGTTGTGTCACACTGACAACGAAAAGGGTCATGACAGGCCATAATCTAAACGCTAGCGCGCAGAGCTGTCAGTTGTAAAATAGGCACACCACTGTACCTTGTTTTTTTCCTCTGACAAGTTGTCTGGCCGGGAGCTGAGGCGTTCTCTGGAATGTCAGCTCTGCATAGTTCACCTGGTCTTCACTTAGCACTACAGGGCTCTGCTTGGCTGTGGGTATCCTTTGCTTCCGTGAAGACTTACATTTCTTCACCTCCGTGTAAGTAATGGCCTGCTTGTTTGCTGTGTATTCATGGTGTTTACTGTGAGGCATTTCTTTCTGCTTTACCTCCGTCTCGGTAGCTGTTGCCCTTGATCTGCTGTACCTCTGCAACAAAGAGACACATGCGCACTGCATTGCTGAGTCATCTCCGAGCCTTAGCCCTCACAGAGAAATATTTGCTTATGAAATTGGTGGATGAAATAGAGGAAATGAGAGTGCAAATCCCTCTCTGAATGTGATACTTTTATTGATTCAGAAGAATGGTTCTACCAGCCCTGAAAAAACTCACACCCACTTTTCCTCTCTGAGTCTGTTTTTAAAGGTTTGGACCTGGAATGTCACACAATATTCCTTCTCAGCATTCCATGAATCGTAATTAGTCAATAATAATAAGAATAGTAATAATAATAATAATAATAATAATAATAATAATAATAATAAATGGCTAAACGATCACTCTATTAATTAACAATTTGAAATTTAAATTAAGCCAGGTGTCTATGAAATGTATTAATGAAATAAAGTATAATTTGTAGAATAAAATATTAAGAGGGTAAAAGTATATTTACCTCAGACACTTGATAAATTCTACATTGAGGTAGAAGCTTGCCAGTCTCCTTACGTAAGATCAGTTTACCTAAGCCAAGCAGTTCACTGTCTCTCTCTCTCTCAAACACACACATACACAAGCGAGAGAGAGAGATCCAATCATCAAACTAATGAAACAGGATCTATGAAGCACAGGGAAAGGAAATAATCAGGCACTCACAAAACCCAACATAAACACATAATCACAAATTGGAAATAGAGTCATTCGAATTAAAGGAACAGTGGCCACCCATGAGAACAAGAAATATTTTTAATGAACTGATATTTTCTTTTTGAGATAGGGTCTCAGTACTTAGCCGTGGCTATCCTGGTACTCAATATGCAAACCAGCAGACAGGCTCTCTGCATTTATCCTTGGCTATCTATCCCAGTACTCACTATGTAAGCCAGCCTACATAAATGTTAAACATGAGTTTAAGTTACGCAACCCAAGATTTTGTCAGCATTGTACTTTATCTAATAAATATAGTGGGAAGATGAATGAAAACACTGATTATTTAAAAAAAAAATGATCCCGAGTAAGGAGCTGAGTGAGTTACAGTTCCTGAAACACTAGAGTAGCAGGAACACCATTGATGCTAACCAATGTTCTCTACATGCATACAAAGTAGCGGAGTTGCAATAGGCTGTGTTTGCAGGTTTGTGTGGGAATCTTGAAAGGTTTCTGTCTCATTGGAAATTAAAGTATATGTTTGAAAGCTACTTAAAAGATGGAGTTTTGAATACTTTAAAGTAGCGGAAAACATCTTAATATGTAAAGTATTTCGATATCCATGATTTTTCCCAGGAATAATTTTATAAAAAGAGAAAACTGAAGTAAACATTTTTAGGGTGGAGCATTTTTATATTTCTTACTCTTCAAAAAAAATTTAGTTGAATTTATAGATCCACTAACACAAATACAGTCCTTTTAAAGACTTGGTAAGGAATTAAGAATGCTGTTTCTCGACAATCAAAATCTGGAGTTGTGGAGCACACAGTCCCTGTGGAGCACAGACCCTGTGGAGCACAGTCCTTGTGGAGCACAGACCCACTACACACTTCTACAAAATACTCCCATACCTGAGGCTCAGGGCACAGTGTGAAGAAACATGTTTATTTTCTCCTGAGAGACAGAAAGGGAGTGGATCCAGAGGTGAGGGAAGGTGGTTAGGAAGTGGAAGGAGCAGATGGAGGGGAAACTGTAATCTGGATATGTTATATAAGATAAAAGCTTATTTTCAATAAAAGAAAAAAAGGAAATTATCATTCACATTAGATGACTGAATGTCTGAGATCTGTATATGTAACTCAGTCAACGAATAAAATACAAAAGCAAAATAATAAAATAATTTCAGCAAACAAAAGATTTAAAAATCATGATTTTAGACACGTAATTGAGGAAAATAGGAGATATGTAGATAGGGCTATAACTACATAGAAACACATGAAAAGAATTTTACAGTTGATCACAGATAAACAAACAATTACATGTCATTTTCTGTTACAAAACCAGTACTTACAGACTAAATATAAAGGTACAAATCAGACAAAAAAAAAAGCACAGAATATCACACACACATACACACACTCATACACACACATACACATGAATAAGAGATAAACTATTTTATTCACATGCCAGGAAAGAAATCTGCCAATAAACATAAAAAAACCCCAAAATGACATACTTCCCCGCTTAGCAAACATTTCAGATAGTGAGAGAACAAGCGCATATTAATTAATTAATTCAATTTGAGAGAAGCTAGGCAGTTGGTAAGATAAAAATTATAATAAAAAATCATACAGAAAAGGATAACAAGACTCACTTTACACTATTCCTTCTAAGATGGAGACACCACATGACACAGAAACAATGTTGTCTCCAAGCTAATATTTCAATGTTTTTGTTGAGCTGTAAAATATCATCCAAACGTGACACATGAGCACAACTTTAAAGAAAAGTGTTAAGGCAATGTACTCACCTAGAGTAATCCACCCTGGACGAGCCAGTCTGGTGGCTTTATCAAAGAATCCTGGGAAGTAAACAGTGCCCCAGTGTTTCACTAGATGAATAAAACTGGACAACTGATGATGTGGTGCCCAGATGTCCAGGACAATTCTAAGTTGTAAAAACTTTAACGTGCTGTTTATTTGTGAATTAGTCAGTGAGAAGGAAAAAAAAAAAGTGTTCTGTTCACTGCTAATTTATTCTGCACTGCCCCCAACAGATACCTTCCAGGAAGAGAATATGTGACTTTAGCATGCCATTTTGAAACACATTTCACATATCATAGCTCGTTCTTTCCTTTTAAAATGTGGGAGAAAATGTTCCCCGTAAAAGTTCTTGAGTAGTAATATATCAAAGAAACAGAACGATAAGCAAGGGTTACATGGAAGTTAAGGCCCACAGAAGTAACGGGCAATATTATTACGGTGATTTTGCCGTATTTTTATATAAATTTTTATATAAATTATAATGTGTACTTTACGGGGCAAAATTACTTAATGTTCTCTCAGGATTTGCTATAAAATGTGTATGATAGTACACTCAATGTAATAATTTTTATACTTTAAAATAAAATAATGTGAACAAATCCAAGCTCAGAATCATAAGCCTAAAATTCTAAACATTTGGGAAGCTGAGGTAGGGAGGTGGAAACTTCAAAGGTTTCCTGGGTTACAGGCTGAGTTCAAGGCCAGACTGAGCAGCTTGATGAGACCATCTCAAAGTTTTTAAAGAGGGAAGAGAGCTGGGGATGTAGCTGTACCATGGAAGAGTGCTTGTCTAGGATGAGTTAGGCTCACTCTTCAGTCCCCAGCAACCACAAGAAAATGGCAACAAAACCCCGAACACTTAAGAGAATTCAGATTATCAAGATAAATGGTGAGAACTCATTTCCTGCACTGTTGTTTATGGCAAGAAGACACACTATGTTTC